CAGCCTTTTTTTGCATCTTGCATAACAACAATAATTGTAATAGTCTAAAGTTTATTTTATTTTTACTTGTAAACAGCTCCTAGATAATTGCGTAAGTTTCTAGAGAGATATCTTCTTAACTGACGTTGTCATCAGTTAGGAAATGAACTATGCCGTTTTTGATAGAATGATCCATATTTATGTGTGATGTAAATTTAACAAAATCATCACAAAAATTATATTTTAGCTCATAAATAATAATAAATTTTTTTTGTAGGCTTTTTAAAAGTCTTATATGACACAGGGGTACCACGGTAAATTTTCACAAGCTTATGATTCAGGAGATATTAAAAATCAGTACGCAGATAGGGCTTTTTATATAGTCTTGTCTATCAAGTATAAGAAAAGAAACGTTTTCAACCTACGCAACAGAAAAATATTTTTTTATGCAGTTGTACTTGTCAAAAACGAGTTACTTATGGTTTAAAGTTTCTACATTTTTTATCTTATTTTTTTGCTAAGCAATCTCGGATTTTTAATAGTGATTTATAAATTAGATTTTTCAAGTTTCGTATTTATTTTATGACATGGGCTTTAAATTAAAAAAAAATAGTAACTATGCTAAAATTTTAAATACTCCATAAAACCTTTATTATAGTTTTAAATTTTGAGGGAGCTCTTGTCCCTTACGGCGAGTAACATGTCTTCGTATTTAAAAAAAGGATTCGCTGAGTCTTATTTTACGTGAATGCATTGGTTTTGTTAGATCTTTTATATAAACCTGGTAAGAAAGTATAGTAAAATAAGAAAAGTTGAATTTTTGTCTCTCTTAGGTTTTTTCTTACTATTCACTATCGGTAGGTTTTTGATTTATTATGTAATAATGAAGATTATTTACAAAACCACTGATAATATTGCATATTTATCTTTCTAATTTATGTTTTTGCTCGGTTCATTCATATCTATTGTATTGAAATTTTTAAATATTGCTTTACTAGAACGTATTTTCTCATGTAGACCATTTAACAAAATTTTTTATTGGTGTAGTTAAATTGAAGCACTTACATTATTTATCATCTAATTTCTTAATTCCGTTTTATAATTTTTTTTTTTTTTTCGAAAAGAAAGCCCCTGGAGACACAGAAGTTTTGAGGAAAACTAGCTTTTTGTTTTTAAACATGCAATAAGTGGTATTCGGTACACTGGGTACTCATTCCACAGAAAAAGACCAAGAAAAAATTTTTGATTATTTTCAACAGAATTTGAACCCACGACCCCTTAAATTCCCTAGGCTAGAAGGCAAACACACTTGCCAATAAGCCATCAGAGCTCCTAGAGAAAAGAAGTAATAGCGCCTTATTTCATAGGTTGCTGAAAAGGGGCTGGGAAAGGTGTGACAGGAAGTTTGTAGGTGATTTAGGAGAAAAAATATGATAAGAGGGGACTGAATCCAAATTCAATTAATTAAACTTTTCAAAGAGATAAGAAAAAGCGAATCTTACTGTGAGCAAGGCTAAGGATAGATAGTTAGGATGGTTAAAAGGTAAAAGAAAAAGTGTGGACAATCTCTCTTAAATAACTTTATAATTCAGGAAAATGTATATACAAACAGTAGTGAAAGAAGTAATAAGCAAAACTTTACTAGTTTTTGCGTAATCGTGTTTTTATTCTTGCTTATAAAATATTTTTAATGTTTATTGTTAACAATAATACAAAATTTAATCTACTGACATCGATTTGTGTTAAATCATTAAGTATGTATCCACACAACAAGCGTAACTGTAACATACTAATCTATTATGTTTCTTAAACAAAAAGAGACTTATTTTGGAGTACAGCCCCCCATCACAATCCCTCTACCCCCTAATTTCCCTTTGCTGTTCTTTCACAAAACATCAAATGAGTGCTGATACTTTGGGTTTTCAAGCCACTTTACAGTTTTTTTAATTTTTATACATCATATCACATGTTCTAAATTAATTAGTCATTTTAACACAAATTTGTTTGGCTTAGCATAATAATAACATAATCATGAAATGAAAACTTGTTATAGTTCTTTCATTTAAGCTTGTGTGCTCGTGGACTATCTATCACTGCATCTGTCGTTTTATTAATGATATGTTTTGTTATAAGGCCAGCAAAAGTTGTTTAATCAATTTTTGTACAATAATAAAATTGCTCAGAATTATAACTAGGCCTACACATATTTAAAGGAGAATGAACACAATTTAAAAAAAAGGTGCAATTTTTCAAAAAAAAATAAAAAAGAACAATTCCTTTATCGAGTTCTAGTACGAATCATAAAATATAAAAAAAAAACCAGACAAACAGATAACTTGTCATTACCAACTAAAATTATTAAATACCTAAAAAAAAATCGCAAATTAACAATTATTATTAATATAGTTAAAGAGAATTTATGTTAAAAATTCTTGTTTTATAAGAGAGCTTAAAAAATACGTGAGGGTAACATGTCATTGGTTAGAAGATATATGGTGGGGTGAGGGGAAGTGTGTAGGGAACTGATGGTGAGAGGGATGGAGTAAGGGGGGAAACTTAGGAGGGAGAGACTTTCAGTAAGCCACTTCCGTTTCATCAAATCTGTTGGTTTTAAAATTCCAGCCCCCCCAGTAAGCGACATAAAGAACTTCGTTCTAAAAATTTTATAGTATTCAATTAATAAAGCAATTTATTTTTATTTACGTCTGAAAGACCTTAATGACAGTAAATGGGCTAAAATTTCAGATTAGTAATTGAAATGGAAATATATGCAGCAACACTGTAAATTACTTCCGTAAATGAATAAGCTTGTAAACTAGCATGTAATAACAATTAATTAAAGAAAGCGGTACTATAGGATGAGTTTTTTCAACAGTTTGGATACGTATACATTTTAGATATTAAATAAACACTAAAACTAAATGTGATTAAATGTGACAGAAGTGAGCATAACATTAACGATATTACTAACATAAGTAGTACAAATTTAATTCAAAATCATAGGAAGGTTCGATGAGATAAGTTGAGCCTCGTTAAATTAAGACGAGAAAAATTTGTACAACCAAGTTTTTGTTTTATTTAAAAAAAAAAGACCCGTACGGGCTCTTAAAGAGTTTTGTTTCAACCCCGCCCCAATAACGGCACTGTCTATAAGATTATAACACATATGTGATGTCGTTACTATTCAAAATTGTAGAATTCACTATTTGAGTCAATGACAGCAAGTACATTACCAATCAAGTAACAGCCGTTTTGGAGTCCATAATCTTCCAAGTCGATAATTGAAGGTCTTACCAAGATATACATGGTTATCTAGCGTTACGGACTTTTCGAAAATCAAGCATTATGGGTACTCGTAAATGCGTCAAAAATGAGATTCGCATGCATCAAATACAAATTAAACTTTGCCGCTCCTCGTATACCATAAACAAAGAAGCATAGTTTCAATCCACTACTTTTGGGTTGATAACCAAATGCCTCGAAAGTGTTTGTGTTATTCCTTAGCGTTACAGGCTTTAATTTGGAGAAAACGGAATTTTCAAGGTCGTAAGCCTNTGTAATTATTATTATTATTGTATTAATTATCACCATCATAATGATTATTATCATGATCATCATCATCATCATACTTATCACCATTATCGTCGCCATCTTTATTATCAATATCCTCATCTTTGTTATCATTCTAAGAATAATTATCATTTTCATCATCATTATGATCATCATTTTCATAATCATCACTACCATTACTATAATTATCATCATTATCATCATAATCATCATCATCATCATCATAATCGTAATAATAATCATCATCATTATCATTATTATTATCATCATCATCATTATTATCAACGACATCATCACCATCATTATCATTATCATTATCATTGTCATAATCATTATCATAGACATTATCATTATTATCATCATCATCATCATCATTATCATCATTAAAATCATTATCATCATCATTATTATTATCATAGTTATTATTATAATCATCATCATCATTATTATTATAATCACCATCATTATCATCATCATCTTTATCATGATCATTATCATGATCATATCTATCATTATCATAATAATACTCATTATAATAACCATAATTCACATCATTCTTATTATTATTATCACTAACATTACCATTGTCATCGTCATCATCATTATCATTATGTTTATCAATATCATTATTATCATCATCATCATTATCATCATTATCATAATCATCATGATGATCATTATTATTATCTATTGTATTATTATCTTCATTATCATCATTATTCTTATAACTAACATTACCACAATCATTGTTATCCACATGATCAATATCATTATCATAATCATTATCATACAAATTCTCATTGTTATTTTCATAATTATTATTATTTTTCCTTATTATTATTATTATAATCATTAAAATTATAAAATTAACCTATATAGTTATAAAAATACTACAAAAAAGACTGACGTATAAGAAAAAATTTAATAGAAATACAACAGTGCAAACAGTTGTTAAATAATTTTTAAAACGACATTGGAGAAAATGATAATACAAACTCAGTAGTCGAAAATGTTGTGCAAAGAACTGTTTTTAATGTCAGAGTTAAAATTTGACAGGTTTTAATGTCACTTAAAATAGTCAATTAAAAAATAAAAACAGTGTTAAAGTTTAACTGTCTAACTCTTAACAGACAAAAAAAATATGATTTAATAAAATCAAATGGGTAAAAGAAACATTGAGATTTTATCTCATACTGTAATTTCAATTAAAAGTTTACCCTGTGTCAGAATATTGCTAAAATTAAAAGTTAAAAAGTAGTTTTAGAACAAACTTTTGGCAAAAGACAAGAATTATCGATACAAAACTGTAAGGTTAAACAGAAATGATGAGAACTGTCACTCTAAACTCCAATAACCAGATTAATTTCTTATAATTCCTTAGCATATTTCTCGTTCAATTTTCACATAAATTAAGCATAAGAATAGTTAAGTAAATATGAAATATCACTTACTTTCATGGAAATCTAAGACAGCAAGAGTGATAGCATCAGTCCATGGAGAGCGTTTTTGCATACCAATACCATATCCAGATCTGCCAAATAATTCTCCTGCAGTAACTAATTCACAATCCTGTGCTGCTTCAAACTCTAAACGAGAACTGTCCCAAATAAAAGCCATCAGCTTCCTACAACGCAGAATCGATGAATAATTAAAGTGTGAGGGAGACGTAACGGTAAGTGATCAAATAAGCAAATATATATAACAAAGAATTAAGAAACTATAATCAAACTCTAACAATTGAGAACTATTGAATATCAAGAACACGAAATGAAAACTTAAAATACTGAAATCGTTTTTAATCGCAGTCAGCGTTGCTCAAACCATATTAGAACCGTTATCGTGAAAATAACCATTAAGTTTAGCAGCAGGATTGATATAATCATCATCATTAAAATAATCATAATCATAACTATCATGACCAATATCAGCATCATTGAAATCGTCGTTATCATCAACATCATCATCACTAAAATAATAATCATGGTCATCATAATCATTATTATCAACATCATCATCATCTTCATTAAGATCATCATCACCATTATCATAATACTCAACAATCATCATCATTATAATGATCATCGTCATTGTCATAATCATCATCATCAACGTTATCATCATCATTATCATCGTCATCATCATCATAAACATCATCATCATCATTATCATCATCATTATTATTATCATCATCATTATCAGCATTATTATCATTCTCATAAATATAATCATAATAATCATCATAATCCACATTATTAATATCATAATTATCGCGTAATCATCAACATCATAATGATAATAATCATTATCATCATTATAATCAATGACAATATCATGATAATTGTGAGTATCGCTAGTATCATCACCATAACCAGCATCAATGTTATCATCATCATCAACATTACCCTATCATTATCATCACATACGCCATAATGATCATCATTAAAATACTTATTATCAACGTTATCATTACTATATTTATTATCATTATTATAACTATCGTCATCATTATTATCGTTATCAATATCATCATTGACGATAATTATTTTAATTATTGTCATCATTATTTTTATTATTATCATAATGATCATCATCATCATCATTATCATGATTATTATCTTCAACATAAACATCATCTACATTATTATTATTATTATTATCATTATTGATAATATCAAGGTTATTATAAACATTATCATTATCATAACCAATGACAACATGACCATGATTATTAAAATCACGAACACATCACAAGAATAAGCATCAATATTATCATTGTCATTATTACTACCAATCTCATTATTTTATACACCATAAATATCATCATTTATTAACCAGTAATTATCAACCTTATAAATATCATCTTTCAGATAATTGTTAGTATCATCGTCATTATTATGATAGTTATTAATATCATAATTATTGTTTTTATTTTTATTACTATTTTTTTATTGTTATCACTGTTATTTTTACCGTTGTAATTATTATTATTATTGTATTAATTATCACCATCATAATGATTATTATCATGATCATCATCATCATCATACTTATCACCATTATCGTCGCCATCTTTATTATCAATATCCTCATCTTTGTTATCATTCTAAGAATAATTATCATTTTCATCATCATTATGATCATCATTTTCATAATCATCACTACCATTACTATAATTATCATCATTACCATCATTATCATCGTCGTCGTTATGACATTGTTTCTATGACTATCATCCTAATCATCTTCAAAATTATTATTATCTTCATAATTATCATCATCATTATTATCATCATAATCATCATTATCATCATCAATGAGAACATCATTATTGTTATCATCATCAACATTATGACCATTTTTAAGATCATTATCGTCATCGTCAACATTATAATTATTATCGCCATCATTATCATCGTCAACATTATAATTCGTAACCATCATCATTATTTTCATTTTCATTATAATCGTAATTATTATCATCAGAATCACCAACATTATTATTATTCTAATTATTATTATTATCATCATCAATATCATCATCAATGTTATCATCGTTAACAGTAATTTCATCTTATTCAACATCATCATTATCATCATCATCATCATTACCACCATTATTGATATTATCTTCATTATTATTCTCATTACCATAATCATCATCAATATCATCATCATTATCATTAAAATCATTACTATCACTATTATCATCATTATTATCATCATTATCATAATCATTATAATTATCATCTTGGACATTATCATCGTCTCTATCATAAACATTATCAGCATTATCATTATAATCAACTACTTCGTCATCATCTTCATAATTATTATTATTATCATCATTATTTATATTATCATTATCATCATTATTATCCTTATCCTTATATATATCATAATCCATTGTTATTTTCATAATTATTATTATTTTTCCTTATTATTATTATTATAATCATTAAAATCATCACTATTATCACTATTAATGTCATTATTATTATCACCATCGAAATTATTATTATCATCACTATCATCATCATTCTTATCATCATTATCAACATTATCATTCTGAAAGATTTTCTTATCATAAACATTATCTTCCACATTATCGTTATTATTATTTGAATAATTATCATCCACATTATCGGTATTTATTACATTATAATCATTATTATAATAATCATTATCATTATCGTTATTATTAACATTATTGTTATAATCATAATAATTTTAATCATAACCTATGGCAACATTATCATGATCATTAGAATGGCCATTATTATTACCATCATCATCATAAAATACACTATTATTGACATTTGTCGAATACTCATCATCATCAACTTTATTCTTATCATCTTTAAAATCATTATTATTATCATTGTTATCATTTTTTAAATAATGAAGCTTATCAAAATGATTATGATGATAACAATAATAGTGATAGTAAAGAAAATAAATATGTTAACAATAATAATGATAATAATAATAACAATAATGATAATCATAAAGATTATGATATTAAAAACCATTATAATTTTAATAATCATTATTTATATCACCATTGTTATAATCATCATCGTCATCATTCGCTTTATCATCGTTATTATCATCATCATCATTATCGACATCATTATTATCATCATTATTAGTATCATCATCATCATTATTATTATCATCATCATCATCATCATCATCATCATCATCAGCATTGTTATCGTTTTCATTAATATCATCATCATAATAATCATTATTCACGTTATCATTATCATAATTATCAACATTTTCATCAACATCATTATAATAATAATTATTATCATCATTAAAATCAGTAACATTATTATAATAATGATTAGTATTGCTATTATCATCACCATCATTATTATCATCATTATCATCATCATCAACATTATCATTATCGTCATCATTATCATCATCGTCATCATCATCATCATCATCATCATCATTATCATCATCATCATCATCATCATCATACTCAACAATCATCATCATTATTATTATCATCATCATCATCATCATCATCATCATCATTATCATCATCATCTATTATTATCATTATTATTATCATTATTATAATTATCATTATCATCATCATTATCATCATCATCATCGACTTCATCATTATTATCATAATCATCATCATCATCATCGTCATTATCATCATCATCATCATCATCATCATTATCATCATCATCATCATCATCATCAATATCTATATTATCATTATCATCATGATCTATATTATCATCATCGTTATAATTATTAAAATGACTGATATCAATATCATTAATTTCATCGTTATTATTTTTATTATTATTATCATCATCGTTATCATAATAATAATCATCATGTTTGTTATCATCATTATTGTCATTATCATCATTGTCATTATTATTATAATCAGCAATATTACCTTCCTTATCGAGATTATCAATAAAATTATTATTATTAGCATTATTGTTATCATAAGCAACATTATAAGGATCATTTGCATTAATTTTATTATCACCAGAATCAGCGTTATTATTATCATTGTTATAATTGAAACCGTCCTTATTATTTCATACATCATCATCATCATCGTTTAAATTCTAACGATTATCAACAATATAATCATTATCTTGTAGATTACTATTATTATCATCGTCATTATTATAATAATTATTCGTATCATATTTATTATGTGAATTAATATNCATTCTTATCATCATTATCAACATTATCATTCTGAAAGATTTTCTTATCATAAACATTATCTTCCACATTATCGTTATTATTATTTGAATAATTATCATCCACATTATCGGTATTTATTACATTATAATCATTATTATAATAATCATTATCATTATCGTTATTATTAACATTATTGTTATAATCATAATAATTTTAATCATAACCTATGGCAACATTATCATGATCATTAGAATGGCCATTATTATTACCATCATCATCATAAAATACACTATTATTGACATTTGTCGAATACTCATCATCATCAACTTTATTCTTATCATCTTTAAAATCATTATTATTATCATTGTTATCATTTTTTAAATAATGAAGCTTATCAAAATGATTATGATGATAACAATAATAGTGATAGTAAAGAAAATAAATATGTTAACAATAATAATGATAATAATAATAACAATAATGATAATCATAAAGATTATGATATTAAAAACCATTATAATTTTAATAATCATTATTTATATCACCATTGTTATAATCATCATCGTCATCATTCGCTTTATCATCGTTATTATCATCATCATCATTATCGACATCATTATTATCATCATTATTAGTATCATCATCATCATTATTATTATCATCATCATCATCATCATCATCATCATCATCAGCATTGTTATCGTTTTCATTAATATCATCATCATAATAATCATTATTCACGTTATCATTATCATAATTATCAACATTTTCATCAACATCATTATAATAATAATTATTATCATCATTAAAATCAGTAACATTATTATAATAATGATTAGTATTGCTATTATCATCACCATCACCAGCATTATTAGTATCATTGTCATGATAATAACCCTATCATCAATATCATGTACACCAATTTTATTTTTATTAAAATACAAATAATCATTATCATCATCATAACTATATTTAATATAATTATGATAACTATCACCATCATCACTATTGTTATCAATATTGTAATCATTATGATAATAATCATTATTTCTGTCATATTAATTTTTATTATTATCATTATTACTATCATCATTATTATTATCTTAATCATCATTTTCATCATGAAAATCATCAGCATCATGATCATAAAAATCATAATTATTATCAACATCATCGTCATGATCATCATCATGATTATTATAAGTTTTATTATTACCATTATTATCATTATCATTATGATCATTATTAACATCATTATAATTTCTATCATCT